CCACCGCGTCTCGTGATGGTGTTGAGGAAGCGCCAGGATCGCCGAATCTGATACCAAGTGTAAGGATGGGGATCGATCTACAACTAGCAGCTAGGGTTCATGGTGGAATGGAGAATTTCGGTAGCGTGTATTTCCTCCCAACCTCCCTCACAGCTACAGAGTCATTACAATCGGCCGCAGCCGCCGTCTAGTCCAAAGCCAACCAATTCGAACGTTATACAGTGCTATTTAACTACCGAATCCATTCAGGGCCACCGTTCCACCTGGGTTTCATCTTGACTCGAGTGGGCCGCGCTGCAGGCCCGCTCGAGGCCTGGTTCTCTGCCGTTCCTTCCTCGCTTGCCGGATGGTGAACAGTATCGGGCTCTGTTGCCGCTTGGTGGTGATCTTCAGTATCCTGCACCTGTGCGTCGTTGACACCGTGCTCCTGGCCTGCCGCCAAGAAGATGACATTTGTGCCCACTGCCACCTCGCCGCCGATGGCCGCAAGGAGGGCTCGTGCAGCACGCCCTTCGCGTCCGTACGGTTGAGGTGGAGACCGGCCCGGCGCCGTCACAATTTTCGTCTTCCTAGATAGGGGTGGGATAGCTTGCCGCCGGCCGCCACGAACGAGAAGCAGCTGCTACGGCATGTATTGCAATCAAATCAAATGAGGTGCACACGGGTCTGCGTAAGGAATAGGAATTGAATCGAGTCGCCGGCCAGAGAGGAAGGAGACAACAGGTCGTCTTTGATGGCCCCGTGCTGGAGCTGGCCGTGCGCGCACCGTTGGGCCGTTGCGTGGAGCGCCATGCTCGGCGCCCACGTCGGCCGTCGATCGACGCGGGTGCTCTGCTCCCCAACGACACGACACGAGCGTGCTCATGGAGATGGAGATGGAGGTCGTTCGCCTGCTGTCCAGCTCCGGCCGGGCGGGTCGAGACCTTATCATGGACGACGTACGGCGGGCGATCGATCCGGTGAAATAAAGTTGGAATCGGCGGCGGCCATGAGATGAATGTTGGGCGGAGAGGAAGAAGGAGGGGGTCGATTGGTTTCACTGCACGGGAAGAAGGACGGCGGCGGCCATTAATCGAATCGAACGGTAGTGTGGATCGAGGAGCAGCAGCGGGGCATGCATAGAACTCGGAAAGGATTCATGGCACCGCACCGGCGGCAACCAAATTAGCTAGCATGCACCGCCGTGGC